CTTTTATCACAAATTATATCAATAACTAAGGTTCGTCCTCCTACAGTGTTAGGCGTCAGTTGGAACAGTCCGACTATTCCATGAAGTATTTCTTAATTCACCAGCTATTGTTGCCCACCAGTTTTCACAGTTCGGTAAGCACAACTATATCGGAGCTTGGGCTCAACCGAATGTTTGGTGAGGTTTCGCATAAAGCGACTTTCTATCGTCCATCGTGGCGACGGCTGCTCACCTTGCACGAACCTCTGAGTCTCACTGCGCACAACCTACTGTCGACTGGAATCCATTCCAGGAGGGCGGCCTCAGCTCTCTCACTGAGAGCTACGCCGACGCCAGCAAGACCGGAAACCGCGGCCTCAGGGTCCCCAGAGAGGCGTAAGTGAAACTTCACATATTGGTTAGATGGGGACGTCAATCGGATAATGGAGCTAGAGTCTTGAATGCGAGTTTCTTGGATGCAACACACATCAATGGCTAGGTTTTCGAACCTACGAGCTAAACACGCCTGTTGTCCTATGCGCATCAGAGTACGCACATTAAACGTGGCTAGTTTGAAAGGACGTCGAGGGCGGAGAAGGGCTTCAGCTGGTGGAGGATTCGGTGAGACTTGGACAGCAGCCGAGGTAGGACAAGAGCGAACTGCGGCAGAATTTCCGCCCGAGGCACTACTGCTAGTACGATCGTCTGAAGTACCCGAGAGAGATGGAATGGAGTTGGTAGGGTAGAGATGAGGTGAGGTAGGGGGAGGCTGGGAGGACAAAAGGGTGTGTACGGTGCAGAAAGTCTTTCGATTGTTGAAGGTTTAGACTGCGAAATCATGAGAGCGTTCATAGTTGTCTGCTTTGTAGGCTATTGTACTACTCGTTCGCCCAGTCCAGAGTCGGCCTTGTTCGAGGATGCACTCTAACCTTTGCGCACTCAAGCGCGGACTGCAAGGCAGCAGTCATGTTCCAGATGAGCCGATGGCCAGTCTTCGGTTCATTTGCCTCTTCTGGAAAACCTTGTCGGGCGAAGGAACTCGACAAGGGGCTATGACCATATTTATTGGCGGGCCACACTACGTCAGCGTTGTTCACAAATATCTGTGGTGTTTTCTGTGGAGAACCCTTGCCAGGAGTTGAACCCACCACAACCTCTAGCGCTGCCGCTGATCATCCGCGGCCGCTTATTCGGAGGGCCGAGGCCCACCTTATTCACGGTTAGCCGCGAGATACCGGTCGTTCCCGTATCCGCGACCTGGGGACTCGCTCGGTAGCATACAGCTCGGCTCTCCTGAGCTATGGTTAGACAGGTGCTGTCATATGGTCCAGCGAATTTGCTCTTACGAACGGAGCTGGATCATCGCCATCGACACTTCTTCAAACTAATCTAGTGGAACAGCAACACGACATTAGGTAACTGTGGTCTTGCATTAATGCAGGTGCTTGACTGCCGTAGACTATGATTACTGTCTTCGGATAAAGTTCCTTGGCGTCTGAGATAGGTGGGATGGAGTTAAGCTAAGACCTAACAGGAGGGTGTGAAGTTCCTCACTAAGGTGCTTGGTTATATGAGTCACCTAACCGATAGAAACTGGGTGATATAACAGAATGTCGGAACAGTGCCGCTCGTGGATCTGCTCACTTTCTACGCAAATCTAATTTACTTGCACTTCCCGTCTCAGCCTCCGCGGTTTCTAAATCCCAACTCATTTCTTTCACATTAGTGGACTAAACGGTTGTCTGAAACACAAACCAAAAGCTAGACACGAAATCATTAAGTGGAAACGGGAAAACCTTTGCTCTACAACTGGTTTCAAACGATTAGGCTTCTTCCTATGATCATCTTGTCTTTCCAATGCGACTGAGCTGTCGTTTTACTTACGATTAATATAATAAACAAGGTGACCCCCGCTGTAGCTTTCATGCACTTTCGTGCACCCGTTTTGGTTGCTGTCTTTCAGCTACTCATTTATGTGAACAGTAGGCGAGAAAAAGGAAGGTTGAAAGTATAATCGAGGAGAAAATTGAGAATTTCAATGAACTAAGGTTGCAAAGAAATTGAGATGTGCGAATATCATTGTTTACGACACAGCCACAGTCACTCAGTGTTTCTAATCACCGGTTACGATCATTCCGAGGTCCCCATCCAGGTAGCCTAACAGGACCTATATGACCCAGTTTCCTGGTTAGGGGTTTTCATCCCATCGTGCCAAGTCTTAGCTTGAGCACTTGGATTTATTGCGCCCACTACCTGCGTCGGCGAACATCGTTTGCCTTGGCAACCTATCTAATGACACGCTTAACACATGCCCGAACCAGCGTAATCTATGGTGGTCGGCCATTTGCTCCAGTGGGCGACGGCGGTTGCCTAAAACTCTGCGCCTAACCTCAGCATTGCTCATCCGGCTGTAGCTTTCGCTGCACTGCTAAGCTTGGTCGCGTTATCTGAGCCTCAGTGTGCTGCTTATTTGTTCTAAATCAGTTACGGTTCAATTTCTTATGCAAAACATTTGTTTTTGAATACTATGTTTGATTGCTTTATTCCTGTTCTCATTTGTCACTGATGTGCATTGCCGCTCGTTTTATTCACTATTAGTTGCCATACTAATTTTTTTTTCACCTAACCTACCCACATTCACAGGAAATATTGGATAAATTCGAAAGTTCAGTGAATCAGACACAAAAGGAGAAATTCGAGGGCGACTTGAAGAAAGAGATAAAAAAGTTGCAAAGATTACGCGATCAAATCAAAACATGGCTCACTGCAAACGAAGTAAAAGACAAAAGGCCCTTATTAGATGCACGAAAAGATATCGAATACGATATGGAACGGTTCAAAATTATCGAAAAGGAAACAAAAACCAAGGCATATTCCAAAGAAGGCCTCTTGTCCACTGATGCTAAAAAGGATCCTCTTCAAAAAGAAAAAGAAGAAATAGACGAATGGTTGAAACAGTGCATATCTTCACTTAAAACACAAACAGAAAAATACGAATTTGAGATTGAAAGTTTAACCAACAGCAACAAGAAAAAACGTAACGACAAGGAAACTGCGTTGGCTATCGAGGAGAAACGGCAGCGACTAGATTTGTGCCTTTTTCATGTTGAAAAATTAGAGACTATTATGCGGCTTCTAGATAACGAAAAATTGGAATGTGCTAAGGTGCGCGCTATCCAAGAGCCAATTGAGTATGTCATCGACTGTGGGGATGATGCTTCCATTCTGGATTACAAAGATGTATATGATGATCTCCGGCTAGACGAGATCGGGGATTCCTCAGGCATTACTCCGGGTGCCGTCACCAGCCCACTGGAACATGATTTAAACGGCGTTGCCAATTCCACGACATTGGCCAATTTCCGAATTGGAAAGGACGACGCGGGTTCGTCCACATCCACACACACCAGTGCATCCAATCACACCGATTCATCCGTAGCCCATCCGAGCTCATCCTCATCATCAAATGCGTCCTCTTCAAGAGAGCGAGCAAAGAGCGATGAGAAAGTCACACCATTAGCTTCTGTTTCTGCCTCCTCAACGAGCACTCCCCTCAAGCCGTCTTCAGGCACTGGTAGTAGCTCGTCTGGAAAACACAAGGGGTCCAACATAGCTAATCAAACGGCACCTCCGGCTTTGATGTCTCAAGTTGTTGCGGGTACACCAAATAAGGCCAATCGCAGTTTTGTCGGTCAAGCGGTTAATGGCACTCCCAACTCCCCGAGCGAAACTGTTTCGGGTAAATCACGCGGACAAACAGAAGTCGCATCAACTACGGAATCATCCAGTCGCTCCCACAAAACCGATTCCACCAGCAAGCATAACGAACGTCACGGGCCTGCCCCTTCTCAAACCTCATCCGAATCACAGTGCCAACATCCTGCACGGGTTGGTTCTGAACAGGGCACCGATTCCAACTCCTCACCTACCGCGACTCCTAACTCCAATACCTTAGTCTCCCCTGTGATTGCGCCAACAAATACTGTCTGTTTAACAACGACCTCTAGTAATCTGGCAATGTGTAATAAAATGGGGTTTGCTGCTGCTATGTCCTCTCAGGCCCTTTCGCCATTAACTAACGTGAGCTCCATCAGTTCAGCGTCAGCAATGGTCACCTCATCGATCTCAACCACCGGTAGTCAACCCAAATTGGCACCTGGCCCCAATCTCAATGCACCGACCTCTTTATCTGCGAATCACATCCCTCTCAACCTGCTACAAGCTAATACACTAGCTGCGGGTCAAGATCAGCACTTCCCTGGACTACTGTCCAATACAGTACCTACATCCTTGCAACTAGATAGCAAATTATCCACAACAGGTTTGGAAACCCCTCTCACTTCTTCTCTCGCCAGCAAACTCCAGTCAGTGGCAGCGGCGGNGCGGCGGCTGCCGCCGCCAGTCAGGGATTACCGCTATCTTCCCCGGTCATTCCCTCGGTTACAGCTCAAGGTCAGACAGTCCACGTAACAATGGACAAGCAGCTTCCCACCCTTCCCGGTCAGTTGCACTCACAAGTATCCCATCGCCCACATTCCTATACCCAAATGCATCCACGAGATGTGGCTGCTCCTTTCCGTAACCGAAATTTGGACACAACGAAGGGGCCCGTGCCTCCAGAGGTGGGTTTTTACAAATCTTTTTTGTAATGATGGCCAATGCAGTAAACCTCGCACATTGTTTAATTGCATCAATGCTTATTACTGATTCGTCGTCCCTTCTTGGAGAATCCGTTTTGACAGAGATAATTTTCACATTGAATCGCCAGTTATTTGAGGGTTTAAATCCCGAACGAACCGGTGGATATACACCATTGATGTGCTCCAACAAGAGCCAGATTTGATTGTAATACCTTTCGAATGCCTAGTTGAATAAACGAACCAAGGATTATTCATGAATGTGAAGTTTGAAGGATAGTCAGCCATAAGCTGGAGCACAGTTTAGTGTCTGAATTAAGTATGCAATGATTATTTATCGCTGACTTTACAGCGTAGCTAGGTGTGCTAAGCAATGCATCTTTAATGCGTCTGTTTTGAAAACACACACGATGCACGCTTTTGTACAGAATCTGAGCTACGGAACCGCACCAGTGGCTCTGATCATTCTGAAATCAGGCACCTACTGAGTGTAATAACGCACATGGGTGGTCTACCTTATGCGGGATTGCATTTACACTCTGTTATTTGTAAATGCCTCAAGCAGATAGCTTCGTCAGAATTAATCGTGGCCTCAATTAAACATCGGTGCGTCTTTTTTAAGAATCCACTGTTCTGTTGACTAGGAGTTTTTCCTCGCGTCTGTGAATCATTTAAGGATTTAGCCTTTAAAAACGTTTTCACTACCTTCTCTGAGAACCACAGTTTCCGCACTACTATACAGCAAGCTTCTGACTGTGACTGGTATGGACATCCAGACAGTGTTCTACGAAAGCTTATAATTTCCACTTAGTACCCATTGAGCCGTGTAGGTCATTGATTAGAAACTATAAATAATATGACTTTAGATCCCAAATTGTTTGCGCGAATGGTGCGAAAGCTTACTGATGGATACCCTTTGCAAAACTTGAAAATATGAACGAACATAAAAAGCACCAGTCCACCGCTGTATACACCTATTCACACCCTCACGTTATTTCGCTTCTCTTAATTTCTTGTGTATAGCGTTGGTGCATCGCTTAGTTCAGATTAGTGACCAAATCGCGTATCCGACCCCTAGCATCCTCATTTTACAAATCTTGTTCGATATTAGGCTCACCAGTTAATTCTTATCTATTGTGTTCCGATAGTCCTTGACTCTCAGTTCTTGACACTCATTTGTTTCGACACGTGTTTCCCTTTCTCCACTTTTGATTAGTTGCTTTTACAAATGCAAGCACTCGAGATCGGTTATCGACGCCTCCCTCATCCATGTGACACGGAAAAAGCTCGTATGATTGTGTATAAAAATGCAGTCCCGTGCCCGGATTATTATCCTCAGGAACCACTACCCGGTACGGATACTGAGGAGTACTACATGAAGCTAGATGCGCAAACATTGTTCTTCATCTTCTATTACTTCGAGGGGACTAAAGCTCAATATTTCGCTGCCAAGGCACTCAAACGCATGTCCTGGCGATTTCATACCAAGTTTATGATGTGGTTCCAACGACACGAGGAACCGAAAGAGATCACAGACGAATTCGAGTCGGGTTCCTATATTTACTACGATTTCAAGACAATGAGTCAACAGAAGAAGGATCAGTTCGTGTTCCACTACAGTTTTTTGGAGGACAAGGACTTTTAGCTGGTGTTATCACGAATATCAGTGCGTGATCCACTGGCCAACCGTCCGCCCCCCCCCACACACATCCACCCACGTGATTCGGCAGGAGAGTGCAATCAATGGGTGCGATTACGTGCATTCCGGTTTACGCATACCATACACTCAAACATATGCTTATTTAACCCGGAAGCATAAAGCACCCCAGTGCGGTCACCTGCATTGTCCAGTCAGTCGTACGCTATCTCTGTGAATTGTGTAGAAATTGTTTAAAACTACTTTCTTCGTATAATGCATTTAAACTTATTCAATATTTTTCCAGTCAATAAACTTTTTTGAGATCGGTTACATCAAAATTATTCTTTCTTACAGAGACCTTTCCTCATTCAAGGGGTTATTTTGAAACAAAAGCAAAAGTAGTTAACGACGAGTGCGGTCAGCATTTTTCTTAAAAGTCCCATATTTTCACATCACTTAATCAGGTATCGTTCCTTTTGGTCTCATTTTCATGGTGGTGCTTTTCTGCGTTTAAACTTTTCCTTTGACTGGCAATCCTTAAGATGACTTGTAATGTCCAGCTAACCTAAACAGTAACAGGAGACAGCTGTTGATTTCTCTAAGGGTTGCTANCACACCGATTTGCCTAATTCGATGTTCTTGATAACCGTCGGCATTCCGTCTAACCTCACGCTTCATTAATTGGTCAGATCGGTAGCCATATAGAATATTAAAATTGGTCAACAGAAATGCACTGTTAATGGTTGTTTGGACTAAAGCTAGACCTGTTGTCTGATCCTTCTGTCATCCGTCGTATTGATAGACCACCACGGTTTTAGTCATCCAAAATTCGTTCTCTTTACCTTAATCTCCATAATCGATCTCGGGATAGCTCAATGGTTAAACGCCATGTGCTTGCTTAATTTATTCATCACATGACTTACCTTGTTGTTCACTCCTCTGGCACCTATGCTATTTGGCGTTTACTTCTATATGGCTTCGTTTGATAAACGAGTTGATCGGTGAACGTCTGACTTGCGTTGGTTACATCCTACCAGTTAACTGGTCATTTTCTCTCTCTCTCGGTCTCTCGAACTTATATCAGTTAAGCTTTTTTAATAAACCCTAACACAAGCACTTCCCATTTAAAATTTGATGTCATACCTAGGCTTGTGTTAGACTTGAATGCTGAATGACCATAATATTTTCGGGTGATGGTTACCTTGAAGAAAAGCAAAAAGCAAAGTTATTTGTTCACAGTGCATGTGCACATCGAAAGCTGAGCTCGTTCATAGAACTGTTTTCAAGATTCGCGGCGGATTTGGTGGGGCGTCGAAAATACCACTTGGAGGTCTTCACAATTATTTGCGGGTTTTCTGTAATATGGAGACTATTGTCCGGCAGTAATGGGAGAACGTTCATCTAAGATGTATCTTGTTGATTCTGCGCTTTTATATTCTAAGGTTGTAAGAAAGACAAAACAAACTAAGTAACAGTGCTTTACAGTTCTGCGGATCATAAACAAAGAATTTTAAGGCCGCCGTTAGACACCAGAAGCATTCTTAACTGGGGCGAAACATGCAGGGCAATAGGTTGACAAAGCAAAAAACGAGCGGCTATCTGAAGGATAATGGTCGAGTTTATCGATCTTACAACAAACTCGTGTGTTTCTTTTGTTTTCTAGTTGATTGTTTGGTAGTTATTCCGAGCTTGCACATAACAGCGGCTAGAAACGATTAGGGGACAAACACCAACGTTGGAGAGCTTTATTTTTTTGTTATAACTTCGCGCAAAAAATCCTCGAACAATTTAGTGGAGCGTTGTTTTCCAGGTTTAGAGAAGTGGAGCCTTTGGTGAACGAGTCGGTGTGTGAAAACCGCTATCGATTAAAAATCGGTACCCAGTTAATCGGATTACTCTCCCCTTTGATGGGGTAAAACCTCTGAGGTGCTCAATCAAGCCGGTGACCACTGTCAAAACGAGGAAGATGTACTTGTGGTTCATACTCTTCTTTGTTGACCTAGAATCAGGGTTTTTAGCCAGCGGGAACTGCTCTAAGGGTGTTTGGTGCCCAATGGTAAACAAACGCACATGCACGAACTTTGAATGAAAAAGATAAACTAAGTGTCTAGCGAGGGAGCAGATGTGTCAGGTCTGTTGAAGAAGAGAGTTACATCTTGAAAGGGATAAGAATAAGGATCTGATGGCTTCAAAGCTTTGTTTTAATTAATCAGTGCTGCAGTTAAAACTGAGTTTTGGTAAGTATAATCTGAGTGCGCGTGAAACGATATAATATTCAGTGTAAAAATCTGTGGCGAGTTATTTTTAGGAACCCGACTAGTTTAACTCCGAGAATTGGAGTGGATAACCACTTGAGGTCACTATGTGGTATCACACCGAACATCAGCAGAGTTGCCTGCCATCTAAGATTTGTTCCGTGGGAATGGGCAATAGATTTTACCCTGAAACTTGAAATGGAGAAACCTGGTTTCAGTGATGAGAATCTCCCATTGAGTATGCTAAGCAGAAACTGCCAACCAGGGCAACTTTGGTAAACGCAGTTACCGATTTCAAATGAATAACTTAGTCCTTCTGGATGTAACTTAATTGGATTCGCGAATACTTCGGAGACATTCCTCTACGAAAAGGCTAACTAATCGGGCTCTTCATGTCAACTACCGCGTTCAATTCCGATGAGATTTACTGTGTTTTCGTTGATGTGACGTAAGTTGAATGTGTGGTGCAGTGTGAATATTTGATCGATGCAGCCTTGATGTGCTTGGAATCGGGATAACTATCACTCTTTAGGAGGTTAGTCAGTGGAGCAGCTCAGAGAATGACGGTTTGGTGGTGCCGAAAACAAAACTGTGTAATGATTTGTGTTATTCCTTCGTAAAATCAATTAAGACAACCAATTTGATGAAGATGAGCGATCGAAAGTATTTTAAGGACTGTAAGCGTTTACAAGGGATGAGGGACAGTTTCAATGAATTCAAACAGAGGTAGCGTGTTCATTCATTGAGAAAACTAAGTTTTCAAACGAAAGCGCAATCTCAATAGCGTTCCAGTATATCTCACACTCAAACAACAACACTCAAAAGGCTTCAGTGCGGGCCGTCCTATCCACCCACGGGACTGAAGAGAAATGCGAATTGAGAAGCATTAGNTTAGCAAGGTTGTTGTTAGTTCGTCATGTCTGATGTTCGACCGTGCGTGCGTATATGAGTTCACGGAAGAACAAATTGACGTACACTTTTTGTGTCAAAATGTCACTTCGAAATTAGATCTATGGTTGTGATGTATCAAAGACCAAAATAAATATGAGGAATAGATGAACTCTGGGCGTTGACTCGCCCGCTCCAGACTAAAATGAGCAGAGGTTTTTCGTGGTAAAACCACTGACGATTGGCTGCTCTGTTCACTCTAGTATTAATCGGGGTGGCGGAAGATATTACGAAATTGGTTTCCATTGTAATCGGGTATAGTTCCAATTATCTATACGCTTGTTGGTTGCGGAATTGTCCGAGCGTTACAGGAATGCTGTTATAAGTCGTCTTTAGTGGATAAGCACAATGGCGTTAGGGTTTATAGTAAGACCTTAATTTTTGAAGGCAAATAATCTATTCCATGAGTTTAATTCATTTCGGACAACAGCCGCCTGTCCCGTTTGGCTAGTAGTATGCGGGCGGCTGAAGTCGGTAACCAAGCGAAAAGTAAAGAAAGCGGCACTTTTCAAGTGATTCCCAGTGGCCTTTCGCAGACATCAATATTCAAATTTCATTCGTATAGTCTGGTATGAACTCAAGTAGATGAGATGTGTGCCAACAATGCCACAGTCAAATTGCTTTTGTTTCCCGTTGGTGTTTCGAGAGCGCATAACGTAATCAACATATGTGAAAAGAGACTCCTATCAGAAGCCATGGGAGAGGAAAACAGCGATTGAAAACCGGGTATACACAATCTTAGAACGATCGAGGAGTGAGAATAGAATACCAAGGTGGTATGCGTTTTTGTGTACCACATTGCATAGATATAGCACTGATACACGGGGATTCGACTAAGGTATTCAGGGGGTCATTTGTCCTAATTTCCCGATAGATGAAGATTCCAGTAAACTTAGGTAGGCTGGTTTTGTGCGCAGTTCTGTAGGGTGGGTGCGTACTGTGTGGTCTATCCTAGTTTCCAATACGAACACATTGAGTGTCACCTCGACTGGTAATTAGTTATTGACAATCTACTTTCAGCAAGTTATTCAACCCGAGGAAGAAAGACATCCAACGCTGTTTAGTAACTTGTTAAACTGTGGAGCCCATCTGGTCTTGATGACCGTTTTCGTTGGATTATCCAGCTGTTTCATATTTGAATTCTGTACAAATATAAAATTTCGTGAACCAGCATTCCATTGGTCCGTGTATTAATGTGCAAGTTTATGAAGATGGTGTATTTTTATTTTTGCATTGGTGGCGTTTGAGTAATCAGTTTTGGGAAAACAGATTTCTTTCGGTAATTTGCTAACTGGCTTATAACAGAGCATTTATCCGGGCTATTACCTGACATGGTATGTAAGGACTGCTAAACTATCATTGGCAAATACTCCTAAAATTATTTCCCCTATCACTCAACCAGAGTGTACATACCCGGCTGAGTTGCTTAAATTGGACCGTGTATAACGCGCCGCCACTAAAGAATGGTTGTCGGACTACACGAGGCTCACTACGGAGGGCATTTTTGGTCTACCGAGTTGTTTCTAGCTGCTTGTGACCACGTTGGGGTGGTGATTTCGTGTGACTAAGGAAGATTCTGCTCGGTGGTGACATGAGCCCGGAGTTTTCCTGTGCATACTGAGTAACGCATGCGCTGGCATTCACTTGAGCAGAAAGTCAAATCAGTCAGTTCTATCGAATATTGCCGAGAAGGGCATTACACCTTTGGGACTCACATCCAGCGGCAGTAGTGAAGGTGAGTAACACGTTCATGTTGTGTGTAGACGAGTACCTGCAGTGGATGTGGTGGGACAAATACATGTG